AGGTCAGTTTCAACCACAAGGTTGACGGTTCAAGCTCACCAGCCATTCCTCGTAACCCTATACAGGGTGACTATGAGTTGGAACCTACTCGATGGCTCTTAACAACAACAGCAACATCAAAATGTGAAGCTGTTGTTTCTCAGTATCTCGGTCTGTGCATTTCTGAAGCAGTGTTTCCATCTCTCTAACCCTTTCCCAAAGAATTCTGCAGACTTCAATTTATACCACATTAAACTGTCATCCTTGAGGGGATTCAAATTGCATTCCTTTAAAGACTTCTTTGAGTTTAGGGAATAAAGAGGAGTCTGAAAGTGCAAGATCAGGGCTGTAAGGTAGATGGAGCAAGGGTTCCGGATGAAATACTTATAACATGACCTTTGTTTCACTCAAAGAATGAGCAGATGTAGTGTGGCTCTGTGGGGCTAAGGCGTCAGACTGCAAAGTCTTTGAACAGCAAGGTCATTGGTTCATGCTCACCAGCTGCTCCTTGGAAACCCTATACAGGGTCGTTATGGGTCGGAATCAACTTGACAGCGCTTAACAGCAACAACAAATTGTCACAATAGAAAAAAATCACTCTGAACAACTGTCTATGCCTTTTTCTCACCCATGAAGTTTTCCATGTTCTTAAAACTTCTTCATAATAAGTCCCCATGATTTCCTGTGTCTTTTGAGAACATGTATCAAGATAATCACTCTGGAATCTCAAAAAACCCACAGTCATCCTAACCTTCTGAGTTGACCTTCTACCTTGAATTTAACTGGCTCAGCAGATTCCCCTCGAAAGGCACTATTTTAAATGGGCCTTCTACTTTTTTCCTTTTTTTTTTTTTTTGAAGGCACCCTGAGGAGACTAAGAGAACTTGTCTGCTTCCATCCACTGATGGCAGCGACATGTTTAGACACATTCATTTGTTATAAACCAGTGCATGTATGAACTGGAACCCCAGAAACAATACTTCCTGACTCACCCTTGTACGTAAATGTTGTTGTTAAGTGCAGTTGAGTCAGTTCCGACTCATAGAGACCCTGTATAGGGCTTCCAAGGAGCAGCTGGTGAGTTTGAACTGCTGACCTTGTGCTTCAAACTGACCTTTCAGTTGAGTGCTTATCCTACAGCGCCACACCAGGACCCCTCGTACCTAAACAATACTCCTCAAAAGTGTCAAGATCAACAAAAGCAAGAAAGGTCTGAGAAACTGTTGAAGTTAAGAGGAAACTAAGGAGCTAGTTACATGGTTTTAGGACAAAGAAGATTAGGTCAGAACTAAGGAATAAACTGTGGACATTTGCTGATAATATCATCAACAACTATTGTTTTTTTCCCCCATCATGACAATGATGGTTGATTAATTGCAACACATTTACCATACTAATGTAAGATGTCTAGAATCAGGGAAACTGTGCTTAATTTCAGTATAAATTTAAAACTGTTCTAAAAAATAAAGTCTATTTTAGGAAGTCGCATGGGTTTGCATTAGTCTCTCAGATTGGGTAGTATGGGTTAGAATTATGGAGTACCCTGTGGCCAGGATTCCCTGTCTTGCTCACTTCCAAAGGTACCCCTTCTTAGAAGCCATGTCTTTGGTGTGAGGAAAGTGGGAGCTGCACTTTGGCACCAAAGAACAAAGGGGCAGCCTGTCCCAGTGGCTGAGCTCAGACCCAAGCTTTCCCTCATTCTGGGAGACACTTCCGTAAATTTCTCGCTGTCTCACTTTTTTTTTTTTAAATCTAAGAAGCCAAACAATAAAGCCACTTCAGCAGGTGGTTGTAAAGATTAAATGAAATAGGAAATGCCTCATTTGCCCATTACCTGATTAAGCAAAAAGTTTTATATGTGAGGGAGATTGAAAGACTCATAGAAAAATTTCATTAGTCCATTTTTCCACAAACTTTTTAAAATTCCCTTGCACATACGCTGGCATATTATTCAGTCAATAAAGAAGGGAAGTATTGAAATGCACTACAATATGATGAACCTTGAAAACGCTGCCAAATGAAAAAAGCCAGACGCAAAAGGCCACGCACTGCATGGTCCCATTTGTGTGGAATGTCTGGAATAGACAAGTTCACAGAGAGAACGCACATAATGGCTGGAGGGTGGGAATGCTAGTGGGAGAAGAGAATGCAGGCAGGGGGACTGTTCATGGGTACGATTTCCATGTTTTGTAATTAGACAGTGATAATGACTGGGCAAAATTGTGAATGTATTAAATGTTCCTAAATTATATACACTTTAAAATGGTGACAATGGTAAGTTATATGTTATGTATGTTTATTTACCACAGTAAGAAAAATAAAATATGGAAGAAGATTTTTAACAGATTAAATGAGATAATTCCCCCCCAAATTTAGCTGATCGTATTGCAATTATTAAAAGTTTTAAGTCTGAGATGCAGAGTTCTAAATTCAAAGGGACAAGCTTTCCTCCCCTTTGTTGTCTGGGTTCGTTTGCTTTGTTTTTCTTAATCCATAGACCTCTGGCACCTGGCGACACTCGAGGCCTCTCTCCCCTCTCCAGGCACGGCCACTGACCGCCAGTACCCTGTCAGGGGCACCCTGGGTCATTGCCCTGCTCACCCCAGGAGAAGAACATAAACAGTGGCCGGGAGACAAGAGCACAGGAAGCCCTTTGCTCCCAGAGAAATGGTGTTCATTAAGAAGGCTCCAGGCTTCAGGCCTGGGTGGGATAAACTGCCATCCTCCAGCCTCCATCCTGGTAAAGCCAGTGGGCAGGCAGCTATTGAGGGCTCTTATGTGAGGGCTGTAAGGGAGAACTTTCAAGGGCTGTGGGTCATGAGGAAGTAGACCTGCCTCTCCCAGACCTTAGCAAGCATTGGTTCAGCCCTACTATGTGTGTATCTCTTGGCTATATTGGGCATAGAACAGGAGCAGAACCTGTCCCTAAGAAGGATCTGCCCTAAAATGGGGCTGAGCCCAGTCCACCCTGAGCCCCATTCCCTTAGCCTCTTTTTGGGTCTGGTATCCTGCCTGCTGACTCCCGTGACCTGGCTCCCCCTCCCTCCAGCGTCTTGGAGGCAAGTCTTGGATATGGGTCATGTCACCACAGGGGAATTTGGAGCCCCAGCTGTGGGTAAAACACTGAATGTTGTAATAGATCACACACTCACATGACTCCATATTCTAAAGGCACATAAGTCCCCCACCCCTTTCTCCCAAACACCCAGTTCCTCCTAGAGGCAAACAGCCCTTCAGGGACTCCTCTCTTTCCACTCAGAGGTATTTTATGCCTCGCAACAAAACCTCAGTGTTGAGGACTCTTTGTAGGATCTACTTCCTTAAGTCTCCATTTTCCCATTTTATAGATGAGGAGACTGAGGCTTGGACAGAACCCAGTGACCAATCCGAAGTCACGTAGTCAGTCAGAATCTAGCTACCTCACCCTCAATCCAAAAAGGTGTGACCACGGGTAGCCAGAGAGCACTGTTCTGGGGGTGCTGTAGCCTAGCCTGTTACTGGATGAGGGGGCAGGGATGACTATGGAAAGCCTGTTCCCACTGCCAACACAACAGTTGGAAAGTTTTGGGTCCAGTTGCTGCTCTTGGGGAAAGGACGCATAGGGAGTGGATGGAGGTTATTTATAAAACTTTCTGGATTATTACAGAATGCAGGCTTTGTAGTTTAAGGTCTGGCTCAGATGCCCATGAGAACACGCGATTGAAGCTCTCAGATCCCAGGTTTACAACTTGGTGTTATTGTGAGACAAGGCAGGGGAAGAGCTCAGCACAGCATCTGGCATTTCTTCATGCAGCAAACACTGATTGTATGTCTACGAGGGGCTTTCAAAAAGTCCGTGGAAAAATGGAATGAAAAGATAATGGTATTTTTTCCATGAACTTTTTTGAAGTTTCTCTGCACTATGTGCCAAGCATCTTATTATGTGAGAATACAAGAGAGCCAGAAACTGGCCCTCAGAATGCTCACGGACTAGCAGGTCCATCCCAAGAGCTCCTGAACGGTGGATATTGCTATCCAGCAAGCAGTGAGAGCCTCCGCCTCTGCCAATATCTCCTGCTCAAACATGGGTCCCTGAGATGAGGGCTTAGCAGCTGCCTGGTTCCTCCACTTTCACATCCCCACCTGGCATAAAATGTCAACAATGACAACTGCAACTACAACACAGTTGTGACTGAGTCAATTCCAGCTCATGGCAGCCCCATGTGTGTCAGGGCAGTGACTAAATCTTTAGTCATGGGGTTTCCATGACTAAATCTTTCTTCTGAGGAGCCTCTAGGTGAGCTCCGACCTCAGACCTTTCAGTTGGCAGCTGAGTGAGTAACTGTTTGTACCACCGAGGGACTCCATGCTGAAGGTAAACTAACTGCAATGATCTCTAACAAGGACTATCCCAAAATTCGAGACACATCACTGGGTGGAATGCAAGATGTTCCTGCAAGATGCACAGAGGCAGCCTGAAATACTCTGGTGTGACATGGTGAGGACAGAGGTCTTTTCAATCTTTCAAATGACAGCAAACAAAAAGGTCAACGCCAGGAACTCTAACTCCCACAAAGTCCCCTCTGGTTTATTTTCTAATTGAGGTTTCATTCACCAGCAACGGCAAGTCTCAAAGTTGGGGTCACTGTCAGGCAACAACAGTATTGCCTCTGTTTATTTATGGCAAGTGAGAGATCAAGTTATACTTATTGAAGTAAAAAAAAAAATAAAGGAAGAAGAAGAAATTCAAGAAAAAGCAACAAAAAAAACATTTCCCAGATAATACAGGAGATGGCCAACTGGCTCAGAAGGTTGGGGGCGTCTAAGGGCTGGGTATGCTGGGGGCATGGCCAGCTCTGAACCCAGAGGAGGCTGGAAAAGCTAGGCAGGAAGACAGTGAATTCCTGGGGTCAGGAGCTGCGGCACTGAGGGGAGGGCACACCCTACTGCCCCGGAAGTACTCATGTCCCGTGGGGGCTGGGTGGACACATAAGAGCTCTAGGCCGGCCACTGGAGCCATTGGCCTTCTGCAGCCTGAGAACATGTTCGCTGCCACTCTGCTGGTCCTGGCCCTCCTGGGCAGTGCCCACACCTGCCCCAAAGACAACTCTTACAAGGCGGGCATTGTGTGCCGCATTACCAAGCCTGCCACCCTGGTGTGTAAGTACTACTCTATCCCCATCTGTTTGTGCATCCTGAACTCTTTTTTAAGGACATCCACTGTGCCAGGGAGTCCTGGTGTGGCGCTGTGAGTTAATGTGCTGGACTGCAAAGTCGGTTTGAACCACAAGGTCGGTGGTTCAAATTCTCCAGCTGCTCCTCGGAAACCCTTCACAGGGTTGCTATGGGTTGGAACCGACTTGATGGCACTTAACAATAACAACAACAACACTGTGCCAGATGCCTCCCTGGCTAGGGCAGCTTTAGGTCAGGGAAAGGAGTGCCCTGCAGTGAGGCGGACGAAGTAGAATCACTTCAGTGTCTTCTGACCTCTTACCTCTAGATCCAGCTCTCTCCTGACCTCTTACCTCTAGATCCAGCTCGCTGATGGGAATGTTCCCACTGGGCTGTGAAGAGCTAAGTGCAGGGGTTAGTGTTCGTCTGAAACTCAGGGTCAAACTAAGGTTTCAGCTAAGGATCAGAGCGGAGCAGAGGATGGGGAGCGGGGCTCTGGTGAAGGTAGAAGGTCAGTGTGTATTTGGTGTTTGCTGTGGTTGTGTGTTACTGAGTTGGTTCAAGGCTTTTTCTATGTCTCCAAGTGGTGGTGGTTATGTACCGTGGAGTCGCTTCCGACTCATAGCAACCCTGTACAGGATTTCCGAGGCTATAAATCTTTATGGGAGCAGAAAGCCTCCTCCTCTTTCTCCCACAGAACAGCTGGTAGTTTTGAACTGCTGACCTTGCAGCTAGCAGCCCAATTCGTAACCACTATGCTCGCTACCAGAGGGTAATCATTTAACTGACATGCAGAGTCCAAGTCGTTGCTCTCCCCTACAGTGAACCAGGAGACCACCAAAGTGATCCAAAGAGCCTTCCAACGAGCCAACTACCCAGACATCAAGGGGGAAAAGGCCATGATGTTCCTGGGCCAAGTCAAATATGGTCTACACAAGTGAGTTGGGCCTGGGTGTGAACAGGCTAGCGGGTGGGGCACAGCCTGGGACTTGCCCCCAGCCCACAGTGAGGAAGAGCAGTTAGGAGGACTCAAGCCTTTCCACTTGACTTGGTGCAAGGGGAGGAAAGATTGAGCCTCCCCTTACCAGCCGGGATGCTGTGGGAATATATTGGAATGTATCAACTGCCCTGTAAAATTCCAACCTTGAAATGGTCATTTTCCACTGCCCAAAGCAGATGGGGACAGATGTGGAGCCAGGAGAGGCAGGATAGAGTGGACTCTAGACTTGAGATGATAGTAACAGTGGAGCACAATCTATGGGCCAGACACCTTTACAAAAAGGACCTTATCTCATCTGCACCAGCTAAGCATCAGTTGCTGTCAAATAGATTCTGACTCATAAAATCCCCATATATGTCAGAATAGAACTGTGTTCCATAGTGTTTTCAAGGCCTTTCTTCTTGGGTGGATTTGAACCTCCATGTTAATGGTTTGTACCACCCAGGGATTCCTCATCTGCACCACCTCCCCTAATAGCCCTGCTTATCAAACAAGGACACAAAAGTCCAGAGAGGTTCAATAGCTTGCCCCTGAAACAAGACTGAACACAGACACCTTGCTAGCCCCTCAGGCTGTCCTGGAGTCTTGATCCATGCATGTCTGTGTGTCTGTCGGAAGTCCCACAGGAAGAGACCTTATCTGTGTTCTAAAGTCAACTTCATCCCTGCCCCAACAAAACAAAAACAGGCTTATCTCATTGTTATTATGTGCCGTGGAGTTGGTTTTGACTCATAGCCACCCTGTACAAGGTTTCCAAGGCTGTAAATCTTTACGGGAGCAGACAGCTTCATCTTTCCCCCGCAGAAGAGCTGGTAGTTTCGAACTCCTGACTGTGAGATTGTTGTTAAGTGCCAGCGAGTCGATTCCAACCCATAGCCACCCTGTATAGGGTTTCCAAGAACCAGCCGGTGAGCTTGAACCGCCGACTTTGAAGTTCAATGGCTTTGCAGTCTGCCGCATAAACCAATAGAGCCACACCAGGATTCACACAGAACTGTGAGATTAGCTCTGTTTAACTACGCTACCAGAGCTCCTTGTTGTTGTTGTTAAGTACCGTGGAGAAGGTTCCGACTCATAGAGACCCTGCACAGGGTTTCCGAGGCTGTAAATCTTTACCGGAGTCAGAAAGCCTCATCTTTTCTCACCAGAGTTCCTTAAGTTCTTGTAATGTTCTGGGGCCACTAGAGGGCGCAGGTGATGCTGGAATGCTGCTTAGTCTTCCTGAGAAAAGTTTTCCCACTGTTCAGTGCTGAGTGCTCTGCGTGATCATGGCTTCGGTTTCCTTTTCTGTAACAAGAGGATACTGCAGTACTGATCTACATCACAAGAGGCCAGAGATGGCAAACGTGTCGTGAAAAGTTGAAAGAGAGAGTATCATTAATAAATAAGCAATAATTCCGTAAACCAGACTGCTGGTTCAGCCTTAGCGACTCTGTATAGGGTTCCCAAGGCTGTAAATCTTTACAGGAGCAGAAAGCCTCGTCTTTCTCCCTCGGAGCGGAGAGTGGATTAGAACTGCTTACCTTGCAGTTCAATGATAACCCATACTACACCACTAGAGGGAGCTTCAAAAGGTTTATACAATAATTCTATTTTCTTTCAATTCCATTTTTTCCTTCTAGTTTTTATCTAAAACAGTTATGAGTGGATAGCGATAAAATACGATTAACCGTGAGGAATAGAAGTTGGGCCTAGATAATGGATATAATGAGAATTTTAAAATATTATTCTCTTAAAAAAAAAACAACAGAAGAAGAGGAACAGAACAGAAAGGAAAAAAAAAACTAACAGACATTCTTGGATCCTCTTTGCTTGTCACAGTAAATTATTGTGGCTATAATATAGATTTTTTTTTTCCTGTTTTATTCCCTGCAAAATGCAATTAAATGTGTCCTGGTGTGGCACTGCGGACTAATGCGTCAAACTGCAAAGTCGTTAGAACTGCAAGGTCGGTGGTTCAAGCTCACCAGTTGCTCCTTGGAAACCCTATACAGGGTCTATATGGGTCAGAATCAATTAGATGACACTTAACAACAGGAGCAACAGTCTCATTAGGGTGCCCGCAACAAAAAGGTGAATTATACCAAGGGCTTCAGAGAACAATTTGCTGGATAAATTACATTCAAGGCAGAAAGGTCACTTCAGAAGGTTAGAGTGATAGGTTTGGGGAATTCCAAACAGGTCATCCTGATAGATTTTCTCAAAGCACACAGCACGATCACATGAGCTAATAATGAAGGAGTTTCAAGAAAAGTGAAAAACGCACTGGTAAGAAAAAGGCTACAACAGGACAATGCACTTGTTCATTCTTCGAGCATACAAGGATTGTCCTGTGAGAACTTCATGGCAAACCATACTCCATCTACCTTACACCTCTGACCATGCCCCTTCAAACTTCTGTTTCTAAATCTCATAGAACATTTCAAAGGAAAATGATGTTAGTTCCTTAAGTATGCCCACACCATGTTTTGACAGGGTGTAAACTGAAGTGTGCAGACTCCTTCAGAAAGGATTAGAGACATGGAAGTGTGCAGATCTACCTGGAGGGTATGCCAGGCAACAAGCCTTTATTAAGTAAAACCATCAGATTTTGAAAGCTTTATTTAATAAAGGTGTCCATGATTTCATAACACTACTTCTGACCTACCATTGTACAATACTATTCATTTTTTTACTGACTTAATTTCATTCAGCATGTCTTCAAGATTCATGCACATTGTAGCATTTATCAGAACTTCATTTCTTTTTAAAGCTGAGGACTAATCCATAGTATGTATAGACCATATTTTCTTTATGCATATATCTGATGATGAGCGCTTGATTTCCCCACCTTTCAGCCACTGTGAGGAGTGCTGCACAGGTATCATATACCTGTCTGTGACACTTCTAGTGGACCTCTAAGGCAGATGCATAGGAGGGAAATTGCTGGATCATATGGCAACCCCAGCTCGAGTTTTGTGAGGCGCGGCCAAACTGTTTTCAACAGCATTCAGTAGCGTTCTCACCAGCAATGGATGCGGATTCCAATTTCTCCACACCTTCTCCAATTCTTATTTTCCCTTTTTGGTTGTTTATCTTAGCTATCCCTGGTGTTGTTAATACATGCCATCAAATTGATTCCCACTCATAGCGATCCTGTATACAGTTTCCAAGGAGTGGCTGGTGGATCTGAACTGCTGACCTTGCAGTTAGCAGTTGAGCGCTTATCCTGAAGCACCACACCAGGGCTCATACGATTAGAATTATACTCCTAACACTGTTGTGAAACTCAAGCACAGTGCCTTGCTGTTTAATAATTGATCATTGAAGAAAATTAGATCCCATAGCTTTTTACTTTTGTTTTCTTCTAAGAGCTATTATGATTTAAGATGTAATATTTAGTGATCCATTTTGAATTAGTTTTTGTATAAGCTGTGAAGTAGGAATCTTTAAGTTCTCTGCGTGTGGAAATCGAACTCTGCCGGTACCATTTGCTGATGACACTATTCCTCCCTCATTGAATGTTTTTGAAGTTCATCAGATTTTTTGAATTTTCTTTTAGATCATGTCACTTGTGAATAGGTAGTTCGACCTCTTCCTTTCTAATTTGGACATCTTTATTTTCCTTGCTTTATTATCTGAGTACAAGCGGTAAGAGAGGGCATCCTTGTCTTGTTTCCATTTTCAAGGAGAAAGTTTATCTTTCTTTGTGGAGTGTGGTGTTGGCTGTTGATTTTTCGTAAATATACTTAATCATGTTGAGGAAGTGGAAACATGTTTTCATGAACACAATAATTTAACCTTTTTAAGGACTCGGCTGTCTACTACATCTTCTGCTGCTCATGCATTTTATATTTTATCATTAAAATCATTCGGTCCTTGTTTTAGATTCAACATTTAGATTCTTTATTTTGAATTCGTCTTTGTGTATGGTGTGAGGTACGAATCTTGCTTCATTGTTATGCATTTGGAAATACAATTTTGCTAGCTTTGTTGGAGAGACTATTCCCTTACCATTGATTTTGCTCTTGTTGAAAATCAGTTGATCGTAGATGTATGGATTTGTTTCTGGGTTCTCAATTGTTTTTCATTACTCATAAAGCAGTGCCAGGCTGTTTGGATCACTATGGCTACATAGCATGTTTTGATATTGGCAAATATAAGGACTTTTTCTTTGTTTCTATTCTTCAAAATTGTTAAGCTATTCAGGGCCTCTTGCCTTTCCATAGAAAGTTGAGAATTAGCTTTTCCATTTCCGCAAAGACCAAGTGATCGGTGTTTTCCATCATTAGAGCTCTAAGTAGATATCTCTGGGGTGTGTCCAGCAATGCCCCCACTCTTCCTCGGTGACAGCTACCTCTCTGAAGGTCTCTGATTCCAATGGTTGCATTGGCAACAACTCAGTCACCAAGATCTTCCTCTGGGATTTCACTCACAAACAGTTCAAGCACTAAGCAGGCAGAGCCACTCTCTGGACTGTCGATCTAAGCTTGCCACTTCCATGATGGTAGGAAATGGCCTGTGGTTATTATATTATATTCTCTCTGGATTCAGTATCCAACTCATCTTGTCACTTATAACCATCCTATGTACAAAGTATGAATCTAGGAACATTGGAAGTGGTCAAAAACTAAATGCAATCCATAAAGACTGATATCTAGGCAGTAGGAACCCTGGTGTGGCACTGTAGGATAAGGACTGCACTGCTAACCACAAGGTTGGCAGTTCAAAACCATTAACTGTTCCTTGGAAACCCAATACAGGGTCTCTGTGAGTTGGAACCAACTTGATGGCACTTAACAAGAAGGGAGCTGAAATAGAACTGGTATTGGCCATTTTGAATCAGACAGTCACATAGTCTACTGTACTGGGAATGACAAATTGAAGAGAAATGGTGTAGCATTCATCATCAAAAGGAACATTTCAAGATCTAGCCTCAAGTACAATGCCATTAGTAGTGGGATACTATCCATGAGGGATTTAGAGTCTGATTCTGTCCATCTGTCCTCCCTGCTTCTGGTCTTACTACCTGGGGCTCTCATGGAAACCCCATCTCTGAATTGGTGGCACACTTTCTCCCTCATGTTCACCCTTTAGACTTGTAGCTGGATCCCTCCCTCTCCCCAGCCTGACTAAGACCACCTTCTGAGTTGAGCCTTCTCCTATTCTCCTCGGAACGGTCACTTCTTCCTGCTGAAGTCCTGTACATCCTCTACCCAGAATTCCTATTCACGGAAGCCCACTGGATTACCTCTCGATTGTTGCCATCACAAATGGCTTAAAACCACACAAATCTATCATCGTACAGTTCTGAGACCCAGCACGGATCTCTCTGGGCTGAAATGAAGACGTGAGAAAGACATTGTTCCTTCTGGAGGCCTTTTCCAGTTGGTAGATGCTGCCTACATCCTCCTTCTTCAAAGTCAACAACGCTGTATTTGATTGTGAGCATTCTTCCATAGTCGCCGCTCCCTGAGCTTCTCCTCTTTCACCTTCCCTTCCGCTCTGAAAGACCCTTGCAATTATACTTGACCCACCCAGGTAATCTCAAGGTGTCTGTAAACTTCCTGTTGCCATGGAAGGTAACATGTTCACAGTTGGTGGGGATTCAGATGTGGATGTCTTTGGGAACCATGATTCTATCTACCATGACCTCACTGGTCCCTCAGGCAGAGCTGGGGGGCTCACTCCCCAGTTCCCCCCAGTCTGAGTTGACTGTCTCCCTCTCTGGCCTCTGAGTTCTCCCAGCACAGGGCTTGGTTGAGCACGTAGGAGTGTGACCAAATCCCTCCCTGGTCTCCATGGTGCCCACCCACTCTCCACTGTTCTCCCAGCATCCAGATCAGCCACTTGTCCATCGCCAGCAGCCAGGTCGAGCTGGTGGAAGACAAATACATCGACATCTCCATTCAAAATGTGTCTGTGATCTTTAAGGGGACCCTGAACTACGGCTACACCAGCGCCTGGGGGTGAGCATTCCCGCTCAGCTGTCATATTTTGTGACCTGGACCATCCCCCTCCCCCTCTCTGGGCTGGAAAGCAGAATGAATGTCCTGGCTCTTTGACTCTTTGCAGGTTTGGCATTGATCAGTATGTGGACTTTGAGATCGACTCTTCCATTGACCTCCAGATCCACCCAGAGCTGAGTATGTGTCCTGTTCTCTGGGGAGGTGGGGAAGTCAGACTCCAGGGAGGTATGCACACAGAGGGTTCTGAGGCCGCCAAACAGGCACAGTCTGGGAAGTGGGGTGGGAAGGCCAGAACTGGTCAGCTCCCGGGGCTTTTGGACAGCAGGTGAGCACCACCCAGTGGCCAGTGGCTGAGGCTGCCCTGATGTGATGTTGGGGCCTGTCTATAGCCTGCAGCTCTGGCCGTGTGCAAGCCGAGGTCCAGGATTGCTACCTGTCCTTCCACAAGCTGCTCTTGAATCTCCATGGGGAGCGTGAGTAAGTGCCACATCTCGGAAGCCCCCATTCCTTACATGTGCTGGGCCCCTGTGTCCATGTGAGCCCCTGAATGTGCAGGGTGGAGATACAGACAGACAAATCTGGGGTGGGGGTGAGGAACTAGCATCTTCAGTGGGGTCACTTCTGCCCCCTCAGCACCCCAGAAATCCTGGAAATAATAACCAACAATTGTTGAGAATTTACTATATGTGTGTGGCGTTGTGGGCTAATGCGTCAGACTGCAAAGTCGTTTGAACTATAAGTTCGGTGGTTCAAGCTCACCAGCTGCTCCTTGGAAACCCTATACAGGGTCGCTTTGGCTTAGAATCAACTCGACGGCACTTAGCAACAAGTCATGTTCCCAAGCCAAGCCTAGGAGGCTGATTCTGTGATTCTCCCCGTTTTCACATATGGGAAAAGCTAGACACAGAAAAACTAGGAAGGAAAGAAAAACTCAGACCCGCTGAGTGCATTCTGCATCCCAGACATCACACCGTTTTCCTAAAGACCAGGCACCATGTTAAGGCAGCTCATTAAATCCCCACAACAACCTTTGAATAGGTGCTATTATTATCCCCATTTTTTAAAGATGTGGAAACTGACGTAGAGAAGCGAAGTAACTTGCCCAAGGACACACAGCTGGCCATTCAGGGGCTGAGACTACGATTTGCATCCAGTGTCTTATGACCCTAGTACCTGGGCTCCTGAGCTTCCAGCTCTCCTGCTCTCAGAGGAGGGGTTTCCTGTCATCACACAGAGGAGACCACTGATACTCAGACAGAGACATGTGCATGCCACACAACCATGGGCAGACCCATTAGGAGGGCCTGGAGGAAGGTGGGGAAGAGCCCTGGGTTCAGGCCTTTCTCTGCCTGGTGATCAGGCACCGATCCAGGCCCCAGCATGTCTGTACTGTACGTGTGAGCATGCAGCAGTGATCAGCGTGACTGGGATGGTATAGTAGGGAGTACTCTGCGCTTGGAATCCCAGCTCTGTGAGCACTTGGGAGTGGCTTTGCCTCTCTCTCAGAGGCAGTGTTCTCACTCATGAAACTGGTCTGATGAGATCTGCCTCCCAGGCAGGGTTGGAAGGTCTGTACATGTGAGCATGCAGCAGGGATCCACGTGACTGGGATAGTATGGTAGGGAATACTCCGCGCTCAGAATCCGAGCTCTGTGAGCACTCTAAGGCAGTGTTCTCAGTGGTGAAACCGGTCTGATGAGACCTGCCTCCCAGGCAGGGCTGGAAGGTCTCACTGTATGCTTGCTTCTTTTAGGCCTGGGTGGATCAAGCAGTTGTTCACAAACTTCATCTCCTTCACCCTGAAGATGGTCCTGAAGGGACAGGTGAATAAAGCCTGCTGCTCCAGGCCAGCCCTGCCAACCCTCCATAGGTAGAGCTGACTGGTCCAGGGTCATGCCCAGGAGGCTAGACCTCCCTCATTCCCTGCCCTTCCCTGAGAAAGTGCCCCCCATGGCCAATCCTCTGGCCCCATCCCAACACTGCCACCACACCCACCTGGAGGGAGACACCATCCTCGCCCTAATCTGGCCTCCTCTCCAGGTCTGCAAAGAAATCAACGTCATCACCGACATCATGGCTGACTTTGTCCAGAGACGGGCTGGTGAGTGCTGTGTGCCTCAGAAGGTAGTGTGGAAGCCAGAAGGTCACCTGTGGTGTCATTGTGTGCCCTTGAGACAATCACTCCCCTTGTTGGTCTCATGATCCCTGTCTGACTCTGACACTTGGTGACTACTTATGGTCAGGGTATGGTTCCCCAGAACCCACTTTACTGATGGAGCTGAGGGACCTGTTTGTGGAGGCGGGAAGGGCTGATGCATCAGGGCAGGTGGGACCAGATCTTGTGTCTAAGCCCTTGTTTTGACGTTTCCCTCTCCACAGCTGACTTCCTCTCAGACAGAGACATTGAGGTGGACATTTCCCTGTCAAGATCACCTGTCATCAAAGCCACCTACCTGGAGTCTCATCACAAGGTGGGGGTGGTGGAGGTGGGAGCAGGGGCTGGATGCCCCTGGGGTTCTTGCAGGTGTCCTGACGTCCACCCTCAACTTCAGCCCCTTGGAGGCCAATAGCCCACAGCAGCCAGGTCCATTGCTGCACCCTCTGAAGTTCTTTTCCTGATGCCACAAGGAAGGTGAGCCCATGGCTCCGAGTTCTCTTGGCAGGCACCAGGGTTACCAACTCTGAGGATCCCTTCCTAGAGGGCTCATGTGGCTTCTTTTAACCTTTACGAAAGGTTTGTTTCCTTTGGACCTTCTATTTCTTTGGATCTAGGTTCTGTTGCTGTAACAGAAACACCCCCAAACAATAACAGTGTAAATAAGAGATGTTTCTTTCCCTCTCTCTCATAATATAATGGTCCAGATGTACACAGTCCAGGATGGACTTGGTGACTCCATGGGGTCCAGGTTCCTCCCGTTTTGTTACTCCATCATTTCCAGGGTGTAGTCCTTGTCCACATGGGCCAAGACAATTCACTTGACCACCACCATACCCACTTCCAGTCAGGAGGAAATGGAAAGGTAGGGGGTGGGGCAAGATTCACTTTTGCTCACTTCCCATTGGGCAGAACTTGGTCACATGGCCACACCTAGCTGCAAGGGAAGCTGAGAAATGGATAGCCTTGTGCCCTGTTAAAAACTGAGTGCTACAGAACTCTGAGATAGGTGGTCAAGATGGAGTTCAGAGGACAACTGGCCATCTCTATGGTTGAGCTGCTCCCCAGAAAACTGCACAGAAGGAGAATTTCAGGGGTTTGTAGGCACTCCTAAAGCCATTCACAGACTACTGGGTTGGGTGGTGTTAGAGGGGACCGTTTTCCTGATTTAAGCTGGGCAGTGGATCATTTTCCTGATTTAAGCTTCCAGGAGCCAGTGGTTCTGAAGGTGCAGAGTCTAGTGGTCATCCAGGGTAGAGGTGGGATCATGAGGTCCATAATCCCCCAGGTATTCTGATGGACATCCTCGCTGGACTAGCAGCCCAGGAGGGTGGAGTTCTGCCTGGTTCATCTTATTTGTGACTGGACATAGCAGGCACTTGGAAATATTTGTTGAAGGAATGAAAGACCAGATAGTTAGGGCTTTTAGTTCTGAATACAGCTCTTCCTCTCTTTACTCACCTGCACTCCAGGATGGAGGCTTTCCAAGGCTCCTCTTGGTCTCACTAAAGCTGATACATGGGGGAGGGGAGGGTCTAGCCAGCACTCCTCTTTCTCAGGGTCATGTCATCTACAAGAACATCTCGGAGGAACTTTCCCTCCCCACTTTCTCGCCCAGCCTTCTGGGGGACTCCCGCATGCTCTACTTCTGGTTCTCTGAGCAAGTCCTTGACTCGCTGGCCAACACTGTCTTCCGGGATGACCGCCTAGTGCTCAGTCTGACAGGGGATGAGTTCAAGGTGAGTGAGGTGGACTTGGTTGATGGGGAAGGCCATCCATGTATATGATATGTATATGTGTGTTCACATGTATGCAGAAGCCATGCATGTGCACAGTGTGTGCATGTGCACACATGTGGGACCACGTGGGTGTGTTATATTGCGTGCACATCTGTGTGTATGGTGATATGTGTACATGTTGGGACATGCCTGCATGTAATATGTGTATGTGGACGCATGTGTGTGGAGGCCATGCATGTGTCTGACCTATGCATTGTGCACACATGTGGAGGCCAAGCATGTGTATGTGTGCACCTATGTGGAGGCCAGGTGTGTGCACAATATACATGTATGTATGCAATGTGTTCTGAGGCCACGTGTGTATGTGATATGTATATGTGTACACATGTGGGGATCGTGCAAGTGCATGGCACATGTGTACACGTGTGTGGAGGCCATGTGTGTGTCTGAAATGTATGCCCATATACACATGTATGTGGAGGGGGAGGAAATTCTGGGAGGCAGGCAAAGGAGTTATAGACTGTTTATGCTGGGACTATTATGTCCTGCTGAATCCCTGGTGACATGAGCAGTTAAGCACTTACTATTAACTGAAAAAGAGAGCTCTGTAGCGTAGTAGTTACAAATTGGGCTGCTAACCTCAAGGTCGGCAGCTGTTCCACGGGAGAAAGATGAGGCTTACTGCTCCTGTAAAGATTTTCAGCCTTGGAAACCCTGTGCAGGGTCACTATGAGTCGGAACCGACTCCATGGTACTTAACAACAACAACATTAACTGAAAGGTTGGCTGTTTGAATTCACTCAGAGAGGCCTTGGAGGAAGGCCTGACAATTGACTTCCATTTAAAACTTTTCACACATGGGGGTGCCATGAGCCAGAGCTTTCTCAATGGCAGTTGTTAGCATGTGCTGGGTACGTATGTAAAACTTGGCACATAGCAAGTGTGCTATTGTGTCAGGTAAGTGGATGTTATCTTTGTTGCATGAATCACTCTTTGAAGTGAGTACCATTGTGACCTCCCTTTTACAAAAGCATAAGATAAAATCCAAGCTTAGAGAGCTTAGGTGACTTGGCCAAGGTCACACAGTTGATAAGCGGTAGCTCCAAAGCCTGCACTCTTACCCTTATGCTAAGACAGGTGGTTTTCAGTCAACGCATATCATCGAGCCAGTGGGGAAACTGAGGCTCATAAAGAGAGAGGAACTTTCCCAAGGTCACGCAGCCTGTCGTGACTGGAAACCAAACCTTCTGATGCTGGTCAGGGACTCCTTCTTACTACATGCTGCCCAGAGCAACTCAAATTTTGCCTGGGGGTGGGGTGGGAGTTGGGTTAGGGGAGGTCCCCAGTCACTGATACTCACTGTCTTCCTGCAAAGTCTTCTTCTGAGGACTAACCTTCCCACCAACCTCTACCTTTTCTCTATTTCTTTTTAGACGATACTGGAGACCCAGGGCCTCAACACCAACCAGGAACTCTTTCAGGAGGTAACAGCCCCCATCCCCGGGTAGCTTTACTCCCATGTGCACCCCAATTCTGCTCTTGTGTCAGGAACCCTACCCCAAGCAATACCAATACCACAGACAATTCTAATAGCTAACACGAAGTTTTCTCTAGGTGGCAGCACACAGCCAAGTGCTGTATCACATCACTTCCTTCTATGCTCAGAGCAACCCTATAACTGAGGCATTTTGATGATCTTTTTGTTTTACTCACAAGGAGACTGAGCTGCAGAAAGGCCCACAGACTGACTGGAAGCTTCCAGTTAGTAAATGGCAGAGCTGAGTAGGAGCCCAGCTGGGTGGCCTTCAAAGACGGCCCCAGGCCCTACTCAATGGGCATTAGCTGTGGGGCTAGAGTGACGGTGGGTAGGGGTATGTGGGGCTGGGGGCCCAGGTGGCAGCTGCAGGTTTGGAGGCCTCCAGCAAGACGATGCCACTCTTACCTGGTCCTACTTCCAAAGCCAACCTTGGGCAAGTCCCTTGGGGGTGATGACTTCTGCTTGCTCTCCCCTGAGAGGGATGCTCATAATCTCTCTTCTAAGCATCCATAGTCCCCTACCTTAAATGGGACCTTGTCCTTTCTGGGTCTCCTTTTTCGGTTTTCTGGCCAACTCACTGCCCCACCATCTACAATGACTTCTTCTTCCAGCCTTTCCTGCTCTCCTCAAATCTTCATCCAGCTCTCACCTTCTGCAAACAACCTTGTCTCCTACTTCCCAGAGCTGGACAACAGCACCAATAGACTTCTCCTTCCCAGTCCCACTGATTCACCACATCTGTGTCTTCCTATCGCCCTTCTCCTGTTCTAACAAACAATGGTCCCTCTACTCTTCAGAACCTGAGTTCTGCCCTTTCTGTCCCTCTCCAGCTTTGTCAATCTGTATCTCTTGCTTTCTCTCTCACTCCTTCCAGGTCTGCAACTCAGAATCTTTGGCATGTCCTTGACCCCTCACTCCCATATTAGAATCCTGTCTATGTTATAATCTAAATATTTCTACAATCTGTCTATTTCTCTATACCTTCATCCTAGGCCAAGATGGGTCTACAGCCTCCTAGTGGGTCTCCCTGAATCCTAATACTCCTATAATCTGTTCCTCCACCCCAGGCAGAATAATCTTTGTGTGTGTATGTGAATTATGTGATAGTTTACCTGGGAGAACATTAGCTTTGCATTCATCCTATTACAACGCATTTCGTTTTATTGCAATGATTACAATCCCCTCCATGCATCATTAAACAACCAAAAGGTACACCCCACAAGCCTACCCCCCCAGCCATCAGCACACAACCCTCTCCCTCCCAGAGTCCAGAGTCCCCAGCCGCTCCATCTCTCCACGTCATCGTCTCTGCCTCCATCTCTGGTGTCACTGCTTCTCTGGATAGGGTCCCTCACTCCACTCTTCTCCCTTAATGGTCCCAGGGAGCTTCACTCCTGGACTGAAAAATCAACCACTCCCCTCCTTTTGTTACAAAACATCTATCTTTACATTTCCAACACTCACAGTCAGTCCAGAATAATCCATTGAAGAAGCAAAACTGATTATTCACTCATCCACCTAAAACGTATCCTTCATGGATAAGACTCTTAGAATGAAGGAAACATTCTCTAACATGGCATCCAAGGTTCTTTCTTTTCCAGCTTCTGTCTACCTCTGAATCTTGCTACTTCTTTGTTTCCCTAACGATGACTTTAAGATTTTTCTCTTTGACTCTGAGGGGTGCAGCAGTTTCACCCAAAGATGTGGATTTCGTTTTAAATATGCTTCTTGGGACTTCGCATGACGGTTCCATTTCTCAGTCACTAGCTCTGATTAGTGCCAATACCCCGATTTCTCTGTTCTCAACTTCTTGCATTTCCCTTAAACATATGCTGGGCCTTCTCAGCTCACCGTACACATTTCTTCATTGTGTTCTCATAGTTCCTATCTCGCTGTCTCTCTTTACTGGTTATTCAACCGGCTTTTTCAATTTACGAATTCTTTTTATAACTGTGTCTAATCTGTGTATTCATGCACTTAATTTTCATTTCAATATCAATATATGTATTTTCATTTCTAGAAATTCTATTTACTTGATTTTCAAATCGAACTCTTCTTTTTTCCGCTCCCTGGAGTTTTGTTATTTTATTATGGCTTCTTCCTTTAATCATTTAAAAATGATTCCTTTATAGTTTCTTCTGAATGATCCTTTATGCCAGATTCTTGGAGTACTTATACACTTACTTTTTGTGCTTGCTAACTCACGATGGTTCATTTCTTTATGTGCTTTGTGTAAGAACATTTTTAGTGGGTTTGGTTTTTCAATGGGCATACTCTGTTCCCTATGTTACGTAAAGGCCCTTGGAGAGTGGGTTTGCATTTATTTCTCCTGGAAAGCCCAGAGTTACACCATTCAATTTTAGGCCAGTTTCTCAGCTCAGGCAGTCCTGCACATGCTGGTGGTATTAATACAGATTCCAGAACAGTATGTGCATGGGTTTGTTTTGCTTATTTATAGCCCTGTCCCCACCCCAACACTCCTCATGGCTTCCTGTGGTGAGTAGAGATTTTCAGTCTCCTTTTCACTGAGGGGAATCTCTGAGGGTGCTAAAGCACAAGCCAGTGGGATTCGAACCAGCATCTAAGTCCTTTTCTTACTTAGAGTTCAATCTACTCTTCTTCTCCAATACCAATCCCTTTCTAGTCCTCATGTGCTGCTGTAGGATAAGCACTGGACTACCAGCCACAAAGTTGGCAGGTCAAGCCCACCAGCTGCTCCTCAGAAACACTATACAGGGTCGTTATGAATTGGAACCAACTCTATGACATTTAACACAACAACAAATGTATTATATAAAACTTTTGTTGTTTTATGTGTCCATTGGTGTGTGAGAGTCTGTGCTCTAACCGACTGCAAATCAGCAGTTCTGCTGATCCACCCAGGCCAAACTCCTCAGCCCCACTGTTCCTTGTATTGGCCATGTTTCTTCCACAGGGATCTTTGCCCATACTGTTCCCCCTGCCCAGAATGCTTTTCCCACTCTTTCCTCTCTGTCTGACTCCTCCTCATCCTCAGGGAAGGTCTCCCTCACTTTTCTGACTTGTTCAGATGGCCTCTAAAGGGCTCTTATAGCCTGATGTGTCTTTCCTTATAAATACTGCCCAGTTAAACTTTATACTTACTAATGAGATTATTTAATAAATACTGAGTGGCTCTCTGCTATATGCCTGCCTTAACCCAGACTTAAAGTATGGTCTCTTATGCTGTCCAAAAAAAGGTATTTGAAATGAAGAAATCATTGATTTTGCAGAATTCTATCATGTGATCTCCAGCATCATTTCTATCACCAAGGCCATATTTTCCAACTACTGATCCTTCCTCTTTGCTCCCAACCTTTGCATTCCAATCATCAATAATGATCAATACATCTGGATTACATGTTTGATCAATTTCATATTGAAGAAGTTAGTAGAATTCTTCTATTTCATCCTCACTGGCTTTAGTGGTTGGTGCATAAATTTGAATAATAGTGGTATTAATTAACTGGTCTTCCCTGTAGGCCCATGGATATTATCCTATCACAGATAGACTTGTACCTCATGACTGATCTGGATATGTTCTTTTTGACAATTAATGCATTGTCTCTTCGATTTGTCACTCCCAACATAGTAAACCATGTAGTTGGCAGATTCAAAATGGCCAATACCAGTCCATTTCAGCTCACTAATGCCTAATGCCTCCAAGTGCTCCTTGGAGGCCAGGAAGCCAAACTTTGTCTCTCATACTTCAGACATATTGTCAGGAGGGACCAGTCGCTGGAGAAGGATATCATGTTTGGTAAGGAGGAGGGTCAGAGAGAAAGAGGAAGACCCCCAGTGAGATGGATTGGCCAAGCGGCAGCATCAATGGACTCAGGCGTGGCAACAATAGTGAGGTTGCCCCAGGACCAGGCAGTGTTTCATTCTGCTGTACGTAAGGTCGCTATGAGTCAGTACCGACTCGATGGCACCTAACAACAACAACAAAGCATAGTCAATACTAGTAAATATTGTTAGATAAAAGCACCAGGCCTATCTAAGCAACCGGTCCTGTTCTAAACTTTTTATGTGGATTATTTCATTTAACTTTCATAACAACCCTATGAGGTAGATACTATTATCCCATTTAACAGATGAAGAAAATGAGGCCGAGATGGGGAAGTGAAGTCGGTAGGAAAGGAACAGTTTCACTGTTATACAGAAGAGAAAACTGAGGGTCAGGGAGGATAAGGGTCATGCCCAAATCACAAGACAAATTAATGATTGGGAGGCGCTTAGGGTTTATGCCTGAGCCACTACCCTGGGCTGCTTCCTTTCTTACCAGCCATGGGATCCCCAAGTCAACTTCGCCCCTCCATCTCCAGGGACAGTGTCTACAGTAGTTATGACTGGCCCCTGTCCTGGACATGAGGACCTTGTCTTCCACAGCTTTTTGGTGGCTTTCCCACAAGCCAGGCCCAAGTAACCGTCCACTGCCTCAAGACACCCAAGATCTCCTGTCAAAGCCAAGGCGTCGTGGTCAGTTCTTCAGTGATGGTGAAATTTCTTGTCCAATACCCAGGCAGACAACACTTTGTGGCTTACACTTTTGAAGAGGTGAGTTGGGTACTATTAAAAGCAGGGAGCAGGGAACCTGGCTCCCAGAGGGGACATGTGCGGCAGGAGTCTGAGGGTCTCACCCATCTCCACTATGACTGGTTGTTTCTTAGACATGGTGTTCCTTCTGATAACATACTAGTTATGAGGGTACATATGGGGTGGTGGTTATGTGCCGTGGACTCATAGTGGCATATGGGGGAGGGGTCACCAATTTTGGTATTATTTTTATTTCTTAAGCTAAGTGGTTACGAATCGGGCTGCGAACCTTAAGGTCAGCGGTTCGAAACTACCAGCTGCTCCGCGGGAGAAAGATGAGGCTTTCTACTCCCGTAAAGATTTACACCCTCGGAAACCCTATACAGGGTCGCTATGGGTCGGAACCGACTCGATGGCACATAACAACAACAACAACAACAAGCTAAGTGGTGGTACATGGATTTCTGTCATACCAGTCTTTAACCCCTGGCCATAGCTACTGGGACCACAGGAGTTTACAAATTCAGAATGTTGTGGCTTCTGAAAGGGTACATGGTATATTCCAGGACATTGCCAGTGAGCTTGGGCTGGTGTCCCACAATCAAATACTTGATATTTCCCCAGCATATGATTATTCACAAGGGGCCTCACATCCAAATTTTGCTGACAAGCTTAAGAAGAAGAAAACATTGTTCCAGTTTCAAAGCTTGTTTAATTTTAGAATTCTAGATAAGGAATTGAAGACCAGTATTATCCCTAATGGGCGAACAATGGCTCTGGATTGTGAACCACAAGGTGGGCAGTTTGAGCCCATCAGCTGTTCCACAGGAACATGATGCTTCCTGTTCCTGCAAAGATTTCAGACTCAGAAACCCCATGCAGGGTCACTATGAATCAGAACCAACTCAACGGCACTTAGTAACAACAGCAACATTATCCCTAATGCCTTTTTGTATGTCTTCAATATTTATTAATATATTTTAAAAACTGAAGCTAAAAGTAATGCATGAACCTTTTGGAAAATACGGTTAAGTATAAAGAAAACCACAAGTTACCCATAATTCTCTTGCCCTAGACACCCACCCCTTCACTATAGATAGTGGAGTGGATTTCCTGCAGGGTTGTTGTTTTTTTAAATTACTTTTTAATGTTTTTTTTGTTTTTTTTTAACAAGTTTTTATTGTGATTTGAGTTAAAATTTATCAGATTATCAGTTTTCCATTCCATAAATCATATTTTGCTTCATTGCAATGATTATAATCTCCTCCATGTACCGTCAATCAATAGTATTTATCTCTATTGTACTCCCCCCCCTTTTTTAAGGCTTTTTATTGTGGATTGAGTGAAAGTTTACAGGGCAGATCATCAATTTTACATTCAACAAATCATACACCTTGTTTCATTACAATGATTATAATCCCCTCCATGCACCATCAGTTAACAGTATTT